CTTCTTATTAGTCTGATTAACTTTGGTGGGCCAGCGGAAGGATTTGCAGGATCAGATCCTGCGTAGTCAGCATGTTGTTCTGCTACCTAAAAGCACCGTAATGATTTCTTAGCTGACTTTATGCGCTCATTCCATGTTCCTTGATAAATCCTGAGCCTCTCTTGCGGTTTGTTCTACCCACCCCCAAAAGCTATTGCCTTTGTTTTGGACATCTTTTCAACCCGCTGAGCTCAAACAAACAAGCAAGGTAAAAAGCAGTACTGTGATGCAAACTCGTGACACTTTAATAGATGCTCATCAACCACTCAGGCAGCATTATAATTGGTTTTAAGATGCTGCTCCCTTCAATTACAGCCATAAATGCAGGTCAGATGCAACGCATTGGACACATTAAGTTAAGAACAAGAAAGACTGTTTAAGTGCATGTAATTTTGGGTTGCTTTTTTACAGAGGCCCAATTTGTCATTCTTCAAGGTATAGTTTTTGTTTCCTGTGACTCATCCCTAACACCCTTGCTTCAAGCAAACAGTTCCTAGGATTTTCTCTTGTGTTTTCCATTTTTTTGGTACAGTCTCAGCTGTGTTTGGTATTAAGCTTTCTTGTGAACCATGACCACTATTTTCCTATTAAACTTTTAAAAAGGCTGGGATCTATCATTCTTATAGCGAAGTGCTGAATGCAGAGCTGGTGGGGAGAAAGCATCATTCCTAAATCCATTCCAAACAGAGTATCTCATGAAGTTTTGCCATACCTGTTTCTATCAGAAATCAGTTATGAATTCTGAAACTATTTTATTTTACTGATTATATGCCCTCAGCATACTCTGTTCGCTTAGTTGATCTTACTTGCATTTCCACATACAAAATACATTTAAATACCCTAAGGAAATTCAGTGATATTTTCAATTTCTCCTTACAAAAGTCCATCAATTTTATATGCATCTTTGTTTTCTGCATCAGTCCCACACTGATTTATCCCCTGGGCTTTAAAACTGATCCTGCTATGACATCGTTGTGTAGCTTACCCAGACAGTTTTTCTGTGTTACTTAACATCTGTGTCTGATGTATTTTCAGTTGCAGGACCAACTATATTAGATTTAGTCACTAGCACAGCAACAGACTGAATCAGCAGCCTGGTTGGTTATGGCTATTCTGATTTTCTGTATCACTTGTTCCATTTAAACCGTAGCATGGTACATGGAAAAGTCAGATTGCTTTCTGTATTCAGAGGAGACCTTTTTATTTTTTTCTTTCTCTTTTGGTGCAAGAATATAGAGGCGGTGATTTTGCCCGGTTGACAGATCTCACCTACATTTCTGCCATCAGAAGCAATCCCTCAGCTCATCACAAACGCCTGAATTTCTGAAGACTTTTAGACAGACAGAGATCAGGCGTGTTTGCGCTCCAGCGTTTCACCATGCCGTGAGTGGCACGCATGCACTGGTGGGGCACAGCCCTTTGCCCATGTCTGCGCAGAGCATCGTCCATCTTCTTTTGACCTCATTTCACCTGCTGTCCTGCAACCTCTGTCCCTCTCAATCCCCGAGAACTCAGCCAACCGCAGCCAGCCCCCTTTTAAACACCAGGAGGCAGGGGTGAATACGAGACGGAGCGGGGGGGCACCGCGATACTCTCCTAATTCCCCGGGCGCGTACGAGGCGGGT